TGTATGTGCTCGGGCATATTACTACAGTGTGTGCTGGGGCAGAATCTATCTGTATGTGCTCGGGCAGATTCCTACTGTGTGTGCTGGGGCAGAATCTATCTGTATGTGCTCGGGCAGATTACTACTGTGTATGCTGGGGTAGAATCTATCTGTGTGGGCTAAGGCGGAATCTATCTGTTTGTGTTGGGGTAGAATATGTCTGTGGGAGCTGACTCTGAATTTGTCTGTGGGTTCTGGGGCTCAATCTGTCTGTGGATGTTTGGGTAGAATCCTTCTATGGGTGCTAGGGTTGAATCTGTCTTTGTATGCTAGAGCTGAATCTGTCTCTAGATGTTGGGGCTGAATCTGTCTGTTGATGTTGGGGTTGAATCTGTCTGTGGGTGCTGGGGTTGAATCTGTCTTTGTATGCTGGGGCTGAATCCATCTGTTTTTTGTGCAGATAACTGATGAGGCATATTCTGACACTCTTTCTTGTGCAGAAGGTGCAGATGATGGATGAGCCCTTAACTCAGATTCAGATTGAACTCGGACTTTTCTGGCATGTCTTTGGTGCTCTGAAGCAGATGTGATGTTGGCTAGATGTTGGCAGATGTGATGTTGGCTTGATGTTGGCTTGATGTTGGATTGATGTTGGCTTGATGTTGGATTGATTTTGGCTTGATGTTGGCTTGATGTTGGCTTGATGTTGGCAGATGTGATGTTGGCTTGATGTTAGCTTGATGTTGACAGATGTGATTTGGCTTGATGTTGGCTTGATGTTGGCTTGATGTTGGTTTGATGTTGGCTTGATGTTGGCTTGATGTTGGCTTGATGTTAGCAGATGTGATGTTGGCTTGATGTTGGCAGATATGATGTTGGCTTGACGTTGGATTGATGTTGGCAAATAAGATGTTGGCTTGATGTTGGATTGATGTTGGCAGATGTGATGTTGGCTTGATGTTGGCTTGATGTGATATTGGCTTGATGCTAGCAATGTGATGTCGGCTTGATGTTGGCAGATGTGATGTTTGGCTTGATGTTGACAGATGTTATGATGGCTTGATGTTGGCAGATGTGATGTTTGGCTTGATGTTGGCAGATGTGATGTTTGGCTTGATGTTGACAGATGTGATGTTGGCTTGATGTTGGCAATGTGATGTTTGGCTTGATGTTGGCAGATGTGATGTTGGCTTGATGTTGGCTGATGTGATGTTTGGCTTGATGTTGGCTTGATGTTGGCAGATGTGATGTTTGGCTTGATGTTGGGAGATGTGATGTTGGCTTGATGTTGGCTTGATATTGGCAGATGTGATGTTTGGCTTGATGTTGGCTTGATATGATGTTGGCTTGATGTTGGCAGACATGATGTTTGGCTTGATGTTGGCTTGATATGATGTTGGCTTGATGTTGGCAGACATGATGTTTAGCTTGATGTTGGCAGATGTGATGTTTGGCTTGATGTTGGTAGATATGATGTTTGGCTGGATGTTGGCAGATTTGATGTTTGGCTTGATGTTGGCAGATATGATGTTGGCTTGATGTTGGCAGATGGGATGTTTGGCTTAATGTTGACAGATATGATGTTGGCTTGATGTTGGCAGATGTGATGTAGGCTTGATGTTGCGTTGAAACTTTGTGTTGGGAGGAACCGTTCCCAGGTCTCCGGGTTCATATGAAATATTTTCAAAGATGTTATAAGTGTGTCTTTAAAACGTTTCTTCTTTCACCCCTTCCTTCCCTCCCACCCTTACAACAAAACCGATCGCACTTATTGAATTCACCATAAATTATTATTTGTTAAAGCGGTGTACTGACATTCTTACAACATGTCCTACCCAGCATAGCTCGGATTGTATTAATAAGGTGTATATGCTGGTGGGGGGAGGGGGACCTGTTTGTGAGAGTGACTTGGTGTCTTCTGTAAGATACTTTGACAATGTGACATTTTTTGCTCTTCTTCTGTAAGGCACTTCTACAATGTGACATTTTTTGCTCATCTTCTGTAAGATACTTCGACAATGTGCCATCACTTTTTACTCATCTTCTGTAAGATACTTCGACAACGTTCCACTTTTTGCTCATCTTCTGTAAGATATTTCGACGATGTACCACTTTTTGCTCATCTTCTGTAAGATACTTCAACAACGTGCCACTTTTTGCTCATCTTCTGTAAGATACTTCAACAACGTGCCACTTTTTGCTCATCTTCCGTATGATACTTCGACAATGTGCCATCACTTTTTACTCATCTTCTGTAAGATACTTCGACAACGTTCCACTTTTTGCTCATCTTCTGTAAGATATTTCGACGATGTACCACTTTTTGCTCATCTTCTGTAAGATACTTCAACAACGTGCCACTTTTTGCTCATCTTCTGTAAGATACTTCAACAACGTGCCACTTTTTGCTTATCTTCCGTATGATACTTCCACAATGTGCTTCCACTTTTTGCTCATTTTCTGTAAGATACTTCTACAATTTGCCATTTATTGCTCATCTTCTCCAAGATATGCCCGGATCAATTTATAGTTTAGTTTGGGGAATTCATTGCAATTTTCCACTAACTTCAATATTTTTACAGTCTTGGTAAATCTTGCGCTTACTTCAAATCGTCAAATACTTAAATATTCTTCCTAAATCATATGTTTAATTGTGTTGGTATTAAATATTCTTCCTAAATCATATGTTTGTTGTGTTAGTATTAAATATTTTTCCTAAATCATATTCAATCTTGACTTAGTAAGTTTCACTTTTTTATAACAATAATACAATTTTTAAACTAAATATTCTCCCCGTTTCGTTACAGGTGCCTGTCCCTGCTGGCGATGGCATCAAGTTTGTCACGGTCATGTTCAATGATGCAGAAACCTTTTTGATGTAAGACATGATGAGTCAAGGGGACTAAATGATCTACTTACAGGATGCTAAGCTTCAATATATATAACAGACTTCCCACCAAGTAACTTCTGATATATAACAGACTTCCCACCAAGTAACTTCTTATATATAACAGACTTCCCACCAAGTAACTTCTGACATATAACAGACTTCCCACCAAGTAACTTCTGACATATAACAGACTTCCCACCAAGTAACTTCTGATATATAACAGACTTCCCACCAAGTGACTACTGATATATAACAGACTTCCCACCAAGTGACTACTGATATATAACAGACTTCCCACCAAGTAACTACTGATATATAACAGACTGCCCACCAAGTGACTACTGATATATAACAGACTTCCCACCAAGTAACTACTGATATATAACAGACTTCCCACCAAGTGACTACTGATATATAACAGACTGCCCACCAAGTAACTACTGATATATAACAGACTACCCACCAAGTAACTACTGATATATAACAGACTACCCACCAAGTAACTACTGATATATAACAGACTACCCACCAAGTAACTACTGATATATAACAGACTTCCCACAAAGTAACTACTGATATATAACAGACTTCCCACCAATTAACTTCTGATATATAACAGACTTCCCACCATTTAACTTCTGATATATAACAGACTTCCCACCAAGTGACTACTGATATATAACAGACTTCCCACCAAGTAACTACTGATATATAACAGACTGCCCACCAAGTAACTACTGATATATAACAGACTACCCACCAAGTAACTACTGATATATAACAGACTACCCACCAAGTAACTACTGATATATAACAGACTACCCACCAAGTAACTACTGATATATAACAGACTACCCACCAAGTAACTACCGATATATAACAGACTACCCACCAAGTAGCTACTGATATATAACAGACTACCCACCAAGTAACTACTGATATATAACAGACTACCCACCAAGGTACTAGTGATAAATAAAAAAAACACCACGCATTTTATACAGTGATATATAAAGATTACCAACCCATTGACCGTGGCCCTCTTCTCTGAACTCATTATTGGCTCAGCTTTAACCTCCAGACACGTACCTCTGAACTCACGATTGCCTTGGTTCTGAGCTCCAGACACGTACTTCTGAACTCACGATTGCCTTGGCTCTGAGCTCCAGACACGTACTTCTGAACTCACGATTGCCTTGGCTCTGAGCTCCAGACACGTACTTCTGAACTCACGATTGCCTTGGTTCTGAGCTCCAGACACGTGCTTCTGAACTCACCATTGTCTTGGCTTTAAACTCCAGACACGTACCTCTCAACTCACGATTGCCTTGGCTCTGAGCTTAGAATGTCTTGGACACACGATGAGTGATTACGCTTTAGCTTTTCCCAGCTTTAAAAACGCAGTGATAATCATTGAGTCTGACGTAGAAACAAGATTAAACTTTGAGCTTCTTCACACGTTATGAAAAACAGCTTGCTGAAAATGTCTGTGAAAAACTTGGATTTATATGGCAGACATTTATTTGGCTACGGTTATTTTACAAGCGTTTCATCGAAGTGAAGTCATGAAATCGGTACTCATCGATCTTCGGTGAACTGTTGGAAACTGATTGAACTCTGAAACAAGGGGAGAGCATCACATTTACATAAAAGGTGGGCTTTATCACCACGCAGTTTTAATGACAGATTTTCTGACAGCGCGGTTTGGACAGTCACCGGACAGCTGTAGCGGACCATGAGCTCGTTACGCTCCACTTCTCTGGGTATCATGAGACCACCTAAACCCCCGTGCTGGAGGGACTTTGTTGTCCCCACGCCGAAAAGTATCGCCTCGGAAGGGCTCGATCTGCCCGACCCCACCGGCCGAACCCTCGGGGCCAGATCCCCTACCGCGGATCTACTCGACGTCTCCAGAAGTTCGGCATCGCTTCCTGGAAATAAACCGAGCCGGTTGGTCAGACGCCCACGGGCGCGAATTCATCGCACCAGGAGCGAGCACGTGATACACACCGAAGACCTCCCGGAGAGCGCCTTCACCGGAACCCTGGCCGACACTGACCCCAAAGGTCTTCGCACTCGGATGCCGGACGGGCGTCTTTACGTTGAGGAAAACAACAGGCGGTGTCAGACCTGGTTGGCCAGCATCGAGGCGGCAGAGCCCCTGGACGAGGTCGATTATACAAAAGAACAAAGAAGGCTGTCGTCGTCTCTCAGCGATATCTCCGGCTCGCTGTCTCTGTTGAAGGCGGACCACCGTGAGCAGGGCGATGAGGGGAACCGACGCAAACTCTCGAACTACGAACTCATTCCGATCAGCGAGCTTGAGCAGGGCACGGAGGAGCAGGGGACTGACGGGGAGCAGGGCGTTGAGGTCGAGGTGCCCGAAGAGACTTTTGTTTGGGACATTTCTCAGGACACGCGCCCTCAGTCCCCCAGCTCTGGCGAAGAAATGTGCAGCTCTTGTAAGAAAATTAGTCCTCAGGTAGACAGCAAGCAGCACGCCTGGCACACATGTGCGCACGTGGACAACGCGCGTACCGCTGGCCACTCAGCAGGCCCGCCTGGAGATAAACAAAAATTCAGCACGTGTCCGGGCGAGGTCTGCTCTGTTGACAACTCCAGAACTGTAAAATCCGGGAAAGAGTCGAGCAGCAAAAAACTCCATACGCGAATCTGTGATCACCGGGAGGACGACTCGTCGCGCCTCCGGGAAACCGAATGTTCCAATAGCCTTGTAGGTTTTGACGGTGGCGACACGGTGTCAGTGATAAAGGCCCATGGTCAGCCCAGCACCGCCCCATCTGACTCACGGAGTTGTTCTCGGGGTAAACGGTCATCGTCGAAACGGTCCTCCTCACGCAATGTGTTGACCGAGGGGGAAGTCTCAGACCTGGAGGGCTCGACCCTACCACACTAGGGCCTAAACCTTTCAGACGATCATCATTGTGTCTAATGTCAAAAGTTTGAATTTTAGTAAATGGCGTACGGTGGGGATGCCAGAGGAATACGGCCCCGGGGGTTAGGGTGGGTTGGGGTGGGTGGGGGGGGAGGGCACGATTTATCAGGGTGCATAGCTTCAAAAGAGGAAACGTCAAATATTTCTGACATATTAATTGTTAAAAAACCCCACAGATTTGTAACATTAATTGCATCCAGATATTTTAACATATTTGTGACATGTTGAATTTTAACATATTCTATTTTATAATATTAGTTGCATAAGGATATTTTAAATATTAATCAAATAAATATACTTTTAACTGTCGACACCTTGTTATGAGATGGGGGTGCTAGGGGGTTATATTTTAGACTGGTTGAGAGACTCGTTGTGCGAAACGGCCCACAAATTACCATGGGCGCTGGCTAGCGCCACTCTACGCCACTGAAATTAGTAGTCTGAATTGTGTATACGTTTGTTGGGTAGTATTACATTCAAATTTGATTAGTTGAAGTAGTGATTTCATCATGTCCTTAAATGTTAAGCATTGGCGTGGGAAAGTGTGTGTGTGGGGGGGGGTTAGCGGGGGGGTGGGGGCGTTCCATTACAGGCGTCGGCTAACCCCAGCTACCCCCCCCCCTTTTTTTTTCCAACTGATGTTTGAGCGTCTTCTCCCAGCTTCC